ATATATATATATATATAATTAAATTTTTATGCATATTCACTGTCTAGCCTGCTTGCGGCAATAACCAGACCGCGACGTACACACCACATGCACAGCAATTGGAGCAGGGGGAAATGTACCATAAGGGATACCCGTACATTGACGCTATGTACTTCCCTCTCAACCCAACGCAGAGTTATAAAACTTTTTACAGTCTCACTTTTTTTCTGTACAACACACCTCGCGGCCCCTCCTCAACCCGCCATAAACACTGGTACGTTGCCACGTAAAAGGTGATGTTATTTTTGCTTTTATTCTATAAAATCCACCCTTCAGCATACAAGTTGAAAATAAAGTCGCCACATCAGTGGCCTCGACGAAACTTCATAATGCATGACATTTTTATTCATCAATTTACCTTGGAAAAACTAAATGGAATGAAGTGCCAGGGAAATTGGCCATTAACTTACCCAGAATAAAACGTTAAATCCAAAGATCACATATTTGAGACAACAGCTCACTTCACTAGTATCCCTTCTGTACTTCCTAGCTGGCATGATTATGACACATTTGTCCTCGATTTAAACAGAGGAACGATCGCGCCCTCCGACATGTATCGCGCACATGTGCACTCTGAATAGATTCACAAGAAGCCACTGCAAACAGAAGCCCCAGTGGATGGACCCAGTGAAAATAAAGAACTCTCTCATCAAACAAAACCGAAAAATAACAGAGTATAACGTAAACAAACACAGTCGCTTTTGACCACTGACTGGAAAAACCAAAAAAAAAAAAAACAAATAGAATTCTCACGGTGGAAACATCAGTGAAAAATGCTGAACAATTTTCATAAAATTCAATCACAAGCCCTGATTTTGTCAAGGGACAATTGATATTGTGGTGGTGAGGGGGTGGGCAGTAGTCGTCTTTGGCCGATCAGCTGATCGTTGTAATGGCCGATACAACAATTACGACTACTGCCATTGTCACGTTACGGCGGCACACTGGCTTGCTTCGCGCCGCGATCAACGAGACTGAGCGGGTCAGGCTCTCTTCTCCCTCTCTAATGCTCCAACGTTCTCTGCACGTCAACCCTCCACGCTGCGCGACCTTCTCCCCACCGCGCCGCCCTTCACCCTCTCTCCCCCGCCACCACCCCCGCCTCTTCGCAGGCAAACTCCCGTCGGTCGTAGCCTCTCTCTTACCCTCGTTCACAGCTGCGATGTTGTATCCGTCGCCAGTGGCCGTCCTTGTCGACTCGTGTCCTCAACCCCCTGCATCCCACCCCGCGAATTCCCAACGTCATTCGCCCACGCCATCTGCACTCTCCCCATTTCTCCCATCCCAACAGACACAACTCCTTTGACACGCTCCCGTAGCATCAGCGTGCGACAACCTGCTGCCTTTGCGCGCGCGCAGTTGGCGACTACCCTTGTGGATGGGGAAAATATGTACACGATTCTTTATTTTTTTTTGAGGAAAATTGTTTTGGGGTAGTTAGGGGATTGGGAGGGATTTTGAAGGGATTGGCAGTCACGTTAATTTTTGATTGGAGATTAACATTAGTTTTGTTTTAAGGTGATTTTTTCTTTTAAGGAAAATTGTTTAGGGGTGGCTATGGGATTGGGAGGGATTTTGAAGGGATTGGCAGTCACGTTAATTTTTGATTGGAGATTAACATTAGTTTTGTTTTAAGGTGATTTTTTCATTTAAGGAAAATTGTTTAGGGGTGGCTATGGGATTCCGGGGGGGGATTTTGAAGGGATTGATAGTCACGTCAATTTTTGGTTGGGGATTAACATTAGTTTTTTTTTAAGGTGATCTTGAAGGGATTAATGGTCACGTTAATTTTTCGTTGGGGATTAACATTGTTTTTTTTTTTAAGGAAAATTGTTTAGGGGTGGCTATGGGATTCCGGGGGGGGATTTTGAAGGGATTGATAGTCACGTCAATTTTTGGTTGGGGATTAACATTATTTTTTTTTAAGGTAATTTTTTTAAGGAACATGGTTTAGGGTGGTTACGGGATTAGGTGGGATTTTGAAGGGATTGATAGTCACGTTAATTTTTGGTTGGGAATTAACATTAGTTTTTTTTTAAGGAAAATTGTTTAGGGGTGGTTATGGGATTGGGAGGGATTTTAAAGGGATTGATGGTCACGTTAATTTTTGGTTGGGGATTAACATTAACTTTTTTTTAAGAAAAATTGTTTAGGGGTGGTTATGGGATTGGGAGGGATTTTGAAGGGATTGGCAGTCACGTTAATTTTTGATTGGAGATTAACATTAGTTTTGTTTTAAGGTGATTTTTTCTTTTAAGGAAAATTGTTTAGGGGTGGCTATGGGATTGGGAGGGATTTTGAAGGGATTGGCAGTCACGTTAATTTTTGATTGGGGATTAACATTAGTTTTTTTTAAGGTAATTTTTTTAAGGAACATGGTTTAGGGGTGGTTACGGGATTAGGTGGGATTTTGAAGGGATTGATAGTCACGTCAATTTTTGGTTGGGGATTAACATTAGTTTTTTTTAAGGTAATTTTTTTAAGGAACATGGTTTAGGGGTGGTTACGGGATTAGGTGGGATTGATAGTCACGTTAATTTTTGGTTGGGAATTAACATTAGTTTTTTTAAGGTGATCTTGAAGGGATTAATGGTCACGTTAATTTTTCGTTGGGGATTAACATTAACGTTTTTTTAAGAAAAATTGTTTAGGGGTGGTTACGGGATTAGGTGGGATTGATAGTCACGTCAATTTTTGATTGGGGATTAACATTAACGTTTTTTTAAGAAAAATTGTTTAGGGGTGGTTACGGGATTAGGTGGGATTGATAGTCACGTCAATTTTTGATTGGGGATTAACATTAACGTTTTTTTAAGAAAAATTGTTTAGGGGTGGTTATGGGATTGGGAGGGATTTTAAAGGGATTGATGGTCACGTTAATTTTTGGTTGGGGATTAACATTAACTTTTTTTTAAGAAAAATTGTTTAGGGGTGGTTATGGGATTGGGAGGGATTTTGAAGGGATTGGCAGTCACGTTAATTTTTGGTTGGGGATTAACATTAACTTTTTTTTAAGAAAAATTGTTTAGGGGTGGTTATGGGATTGGGAGGGATTTTGAAGGGATTGGCAGTCACGTTAATTTTTGGTTGGGGATTAACATTAGTTTTTTTTTTAAGTGATATTTTTTAAGGGACATCGTTTAGGGGTGGTTACGGGATTGGGAGGGATTTTGAAGGGATTGATAGTCACTTTAAGTTTTGATTGGGGATTAACATAATTTGTTTAAGGTGAATCGCTATCAATTATCTGCATTCGCTAAATTGAATACATTGATGCTGGGAAATTTCTATTCGTTATGATTGTCGACATGGCTCATGAAGATGTTAGATCACAAAGAGAATACGGGTTGGATCACAAAGAGTGTGCATCTGCCATCTTACCTTATACTTTAAAATTTCTTTGCGATACCTCCCTCAAAAGTGCACTTTCCGCAACTGTTCAGAAAGTGTGCGTAGAGCCGTTGTTTTTTGCACGGCGTGCGTACAGTGATATAATAGGGGTCACCAAAAAATTTGGATGGTCCAGCCAAAAAATCAAACATGACACTCTAATTTTCGAAAATTTTCTGCTACTTTTCCGCGAGATTCTCTTTACAATTCGGGTACAGCACCCGATTTTTTCGGTAACCGTGATTTGGTCCCACCACAGTAAAAACGAATGTCTAAATTTCACACACTTTTTGTAGATATGAATTTGAAACATGAATGAAGATATTTAGGCACCTGTTCGTCTGAAACTCAGACAAATTTTTATTTTATTCAGACGTTTTTTAGTGTCCAAAAAATGTCTACAAAAGGTGTGTGAAATTCAAACATTCGTTTTGGCTTTAATGGGTTGGTGAATAGCACACTAATTTTTACTAGAATTTTCTCTCTGTGTAGCTCGGGGGGATTACTTGTAAACGAAATGTTTAATAAAATCGCCTCTGGCGCTTTATTAAGAAGTTATTCAGCAACGGAGAAATTCCACCTCAAATCTTCCTCTTTTTGAAAACTCAAATGTCCCCTCTTACATGAGATACGGGAATGAAAATGATGGTAATCAATTGGGCATTTAATGCACAATGATCTAAACAAAAAATTTGATTCCTACCATTCTGACCGGGCGGAAGTATGATACTCCGTGCCTTCACGCCGAAAAACAGTGTGGACTTGCTTTCTAACTCTCCTTTTGGTGTGAACCCAGAATCAAAGTTCACTTGGAATTTTCTATTGTGCACTGAACCATTCCAAAACAATTGATAATTGCTAATTTCTTATTTCGGTACTTCATTTTTCAAAGACCCAATAGCCTAGGCAAATTATTGAATCAAATCATGTACAATACACGGAGAGAAATATTCAGTAAAAATTACGGAACAATTCACGTAATCCGCAATGGGGAATCTTTTTCCAGCAATTTTTGTAGGAATGAATGAGAAGAAATCTGAAACGTTCAGTGAATTTTCAGGTTCATCACTGAACAAAGTACGGCATGGTCACGTAATTTTTCCCGAAGAAGTAAAATCTTACAGAAACTTCCCGACTTATTATGCCTCCAAAATCAAAAATTCTTGAACGTTCAACAATTTTTATGAAGCTGGTGAGTTATTTCTACGTTCCATTCCGTAAAATTTCTCAATCGTTGGGGAAAAATTACGGAACGACTTGTTGTCCCCACAGCGGTGAGTCATCAGACGGGCGGTAAATTTTTACGGAACAAATCGTAAAATTTACGTGAATTTACGTTCAATTTCCGTTCCGAGTCACACTTTTTATTGAATTTTACTTCGCTCGCTTTACGTTTTGAAACGTATTTTTTACGTTGTTTTCTGGTCATTTTTATTGAATTTTTCTCTCCGTGTATTTACAGGGTGTTTCAAAACTCATCGCACGTACGATAAGGGTAACTCCGGGGGGGGGGGAGATAATTTGTAGACGAAAACTCTAATGAAATTTTTGTGTCCTACGCTTCGTTTACGCGTTATCAATTAAAAAAAAAATAGGAAGTCCTCTCGAACGCTTTTCCCCGATAGAAAAGCCATATCCCATTTTCCATTCAAGGTGGATGGATGATGGCATTGAATGTCCAATAGATTCCAATCAATATTAAATGAGAGTGGAGATATGAATTTTTTGCGTTGACTCTGATTTTCAGGTTCGCACTGCGTGTGGGAATCAAATGGCTCGTGGACCGCGGTGATGGTCTATTCCAGACTAGAGTTATGACAAGAAATTATTATGGCATATAAAGAACAATGTGTACGTATGGGATGGACTACGCGGTGAATAAACTGTGTGACGAATGATTTATGTGTTGAACGAACTATGCGTTGAATTAACGTGTTATGTTGAAATTGCTGTGTTAAACAGTCTTTCTATGATTTAGTTATCCTAATAGAACAAATTGGGGCGAAACATTTGCAGTAGTACGGAGCTGCTATTCGGAATGAAGAAATGAGTGCTCTGTTGAAAAATTTTCACTGAAATTTACGGTAACAGTCTTGGAAATTTTTTTTAAATTTGTTATCTTACTATAATTGTTATGATGTATGTACATATGGGGTATTCCACGTGAACTCACCCAGGTTAAAACCCTCACCATCGCCAATCATATTGCCGATTTTTCCTGTGGTTGTATATGGAAAAATATGGCTTCTCAAATTTTTTCAGATTTTTTGAGGCATCCTGTGGGCAGCCATGTTTTTTTGCAAGTTTTATCTTCAAATGCCTGTAACTTCCGTAAAAATCAACCGATTTGAGTTTTTTTTTTACAAAATGTGCGTCTTCGACTACACTTTCCATGTAAAAATATGCCAATTTTTTTCATTTCATTCTTTCATCGATTTTCTCAGAAAAACCTCAAAAAACTTCAAAAAACGAGTCGTTTTCAAAGTTGCACCCTTTTTATATTTTTCAAAAAATTTCAGTGAATATATTGGACTAAAATAAAATTTTTCACCAAAGGCCAAAGTGGGGTCTCTATTAGAACACACCACTCGGAAAGATTTATTGTTAACGAATTTTCAAAAAATCATCAAATTGTTCCTGATTCGAATATAATGCAGTGATTCTTCAGGCGGTCAATTCAAATAATGCTTCTGCGTTCAAATGCGAAAAGAATTTTGAAATTTTTGAAATTTCTCATCCCGGATTCATATATTCAAATTGGAAATGACGGCCACGAAATGGGAAGCCCACTTTGGCCTTTGGTGAAAAATTTTGTTTTGGTCCAATATATTCACTGAAATTTTTTGAAAAATATGAAAAGGGTCCAACTTTGAAAACGACTCGTTTTTTGAAGTTTTTTGAGGTTTTTCTGAGGAAATCGATGGAAGAACGAATTGAAAAAAATTAGCATATTTTTATATCGAAAGTGTGTTCGAAGACGCACATTTTGTAAAAAAAAAACTCAAATCGGTTGATTTTTACGGAAGTTACAGGCATTTTAAGATAAAATTTAAAAAAAAACATGGCTGTCCACAGGATGCCTTAAAAAATCTGAAAAAATTTGAGAAGTCATATCTTTCCCTATACAACCACAGGAAAAAATCGGCAATATGATTGGCCATGGTGAGGGTTTTGACCTGGGTGAGTCCACATGGAATACCCCATATGTATATTTGATTTAATTTAAGCAACATTTGTATAATGATTTGACCCTATAATTGGCCTCGGCTGTTGGGTGTTTAATAAAAAAATATCAAATAAATAAATTCCCACCGGAATTTCAAAGAATTTTATCAGTGAAAATTCATAATTTCATCCAAAAATCCATGACAACTGAACATTTCAGTTCAATTGTTCCAGGAAAATTAATGAAAAATCAGGAAAATTCAGAAGAATTTTAAATTAAAAGAGAGATTCCTCTAAATTGTAAGGGAATTCCTTTAAAAATTCCTGAAATTGGAAGAATTTTCGGAGAAACTTGAAATTCTATTGAGTTTTTCCCCTTAAATCGAATTGAAGTTTTTTTTCGGAAAATTCAGTCACATTTTTTTAACAGTATGATCATGGATAAATTCCAGTTTCGCTCTACGAAATATAGAAGCCGAGAAAAATGATAGAAATGTCTGAATGAATGACTTCTAGACATTGCCAATGGCCTAGAAAAATTGTGAATTTCCTCAGAAATTGAATGCAATTGGATTTAAAACACCAGCTTTTCTTTTCAATACGACTAATTCTCTTCCTGCGGAATGCGTTTATTAGGACTCAAAGGAGAGGACGGGGCCGACGATAAGGACGCGGAGGTCTCTATCTATTTTCAGTTTTACTCAAGGACTCCTACTAATCTCTGCCTTTATAAGGTTTCTGCGGAGGTGAGAGGTGGAAGCATTGAGAAATACGGATGAGTTAGGCAATTATTAGATACGCATTTTTCAACGGTTTATGATTCCCCACGAAATGTACCTCGTTGTCGGGGGTTCAGATCTTCACGTGAGGGTGATCACCAAGGTCGACGCAATAGTAATTACAGGGAGAGCTGTAAGTGGGTCAAAGTTATATGCATTTGAGATTCGATACGAGACAACGGGCCTCTACCGGATCGCAACGGGATCTTTGTGGGATTTGTTTTCGGGGAAACGATGGCATTTATGAGTATTGCATCTATTCACACTTCGTTTTTATATATTAGATACTACCTTTATCGAAATTTTCATAAATTATTTTTGTAATAAAGGGCTGGGCGTGTACAGAAAAAACTTTGGACGAGATTTCCAATGTGAGAATATTTTTGAATGAATCATTCAAATTATCAATTGAATTATTGTTGTAATTTTCGCTATCGGAATGGAAAATGGTGGGAAAATGATAATTTAATTATTCGAACAAGAAATGATTGTTCTCCTCTTTAATCGAAATTGAAGTTCTCACGTTTGAACAAAAGCAAAAAAAAAACCTAGCGCATTCGGTAAAAAACGGGATTTTGCCTGATTTCTATGAAAAATTCTGTACACTGATAGAATGATTCATTTATTCCAAACGAAATTCGCTAATTATTAACGAATGGTAGAGTTGAATATGAGCAAATAAATATGCATTAATAGTTAACGAATGGTTCACATGAATGGTGAAAGTCGAGTCAAACAAGGCTCCTGAAATGTGCATTTGTTAACTACTAACGAATGAACATTTGATGAAACCGAATAGACCCTAGCCTCCAACCAAATCCTTTTGTTAACAGTAACTAATCCTTTCTATCAGTATAGACATCGTGGGGTTAAAAATATCCATCCATTCGACTCCTGAATTTTATCTTGGGATAATTGGAAGGTTTGTGATTCACTCAAATTCTTGATAACTTCATTATCAAATATAGATATTGCAATTTGAAGTCCATGGCAAAAACTCCACTTTCCCCTACCTTCCTCTATAAGTTGATATTTTTTCAATGGAAATCCCTAAACATAAATTTCAATTCATTTCGCTGCATTGTTTTACATAATACGAGTGTAATAATTTCGTAAATTTTTGTCGTTATTTTGCTTCACATAATAAAATTATAAATTTGTATTATAATTTTTTATTATGATTATTTAATTATAATTATTGATAAAATAATCTATTGACTTCCTGCTGTCAAATGTTTCTAGAAACAATAGAATTTCCAACAGAATTTTAAGACAATTCTAATGAAATTCTATTCACCTCGACACTTGTTCTAATTATGGGGAAGTTTTCTGTTCAACAACGAGTAAACTCATCATCTGAGAATATAGTCACGTTTCGTAACGAAATGTTGACCGTTGTTGATAACTTATCAACCGAGTTTTGTATGTCTGACCAGACTCTAACCAAATCTACTGTCCTAACCTCTGCATCTACCAGTGTTTCGGAGTCACAGGGTCCTCTCGTTGTTTTCAAATGCTGGGATAGAACAATTAATCGTAACATAAACGTGACTTCCTCTCACATTGAAGAAGAAAACAGTGATAATAAGAATGACTTCTTTACTGAAAAATGTAAGTTTCTATTATTTTTATACTCCATTGTCCATATTATCCATCAACTCCAATGATATCTCACATTGTGAACCTGAGATTTACTCAAATTCTGGTGAAAAACACGAATATACATGGTTTTAAATACGATCAGGGCCTCCAAACACTGCAACATCAATCCTGGAAGAGATGTTTCCACGTATCAGCAGTGGCAAACAAGAATAATCGTTCAGGACGTCACAGGCCTTCTCTCAAGCATAACAAACCGCTGACTTATGAAATGGCTACTACACCAGAGTATCTGGCTCACAGGAAATCGTGGAATTCATGGAATACCTGTGAGTAATAATGTATAAAAGTAGAAAATAATTTTACTTCAAAAATATATTTATCCGCATTCAAAAATACATATTCTTCATTCAAAAATGAAATATTCTCGACTAGAGAATTTCAGAGAAAAAAAATAATTTTCACAGAAAATAAAACAGATTCTTCTCCCATGTGATAAATTAGTTTATCTCATCTACAAATATTGAATTAATTTGAATAACAATCCACTCAAGGATAAAAACCATCTAGGAGCAATAATTGTTTTTTTTCTTCCGCATTATTCTCTGAATTGTGCGTCCAAACAATAATCAAAATTAAATTATTACCATTAAATTATCAAAAGAATTATTGTCATTAAATTGGTATTGAATTATCGATTTCTTACAATTGTTAATTGAAAGCAAAAATCGTTTCTACATCAGATTAATTATTGATACGTTGTGTAAACTCTTAAATTGAGTTGGATTACGTTGTCTAGAAGAAAGCAAACAAAAAATGAAAACAAAAATTTAAAAGTTTTGGCTAATTAGTTGATAATTGAAAAAACGTGCTACCAAGCCATCAGTATATCAGGAAATTTAGATTAAATCTTTGAATTCCTTCAGCAAACATAAAGGACGGAAATAGACCCTCTGAGACCGCAGTAGAAGACCTCTTCATCCGTCGATTCATGACTGGCACCTGGCACAACATCTTCGTCTCAGAGATAATAATAAAACGACAGCACAACATAATAAGGGTAGCTGGGATAATAAAGCAGAATATGGCTCCCTCGAAATTTTATTTTCTGATTGGTTACACCCAGGAACTGCTCAGCTACTGGCTCCAGTGTCCTGTGAAACTGGAGCTCCAATCAGTTGCTGATAGAGAAGCTGTTATTTACAAGTATATATAAACACGCTAACAACTCCTGTATCGTTAATTGGAATATTAAATATAGCTGATAATGAAAGAAGACGAGTCATTTTTATTCATCATCATTTTTATTAATTATTACACTTGATCATGATGAAAATGCAGCCCATATACATTATTGCATTTTTTATCTCGCAGACGAAAGAAAAATCACAACTTCTCTTTCTTCGTTTGATACAGTGGACCGATTGGGACAGATTTAGGTCCAATTTTAATGATCTAATTTCAGAGATGATCCAGACAGTGAGGATTTATATTCTACTAGAATACACCCTTCTTCGTAATATGCCTTTACAACTCACAATTTTATTTATTTCTTCTAACTTAATACTTTACCAGGTCTCGCAAAGCTACCTATTTGTACTCTTGCACTTGAATTTTGCGAGTATTATTTCATTTTAATTTATCCCTAAATTTCTCGTGATTTCTCATCGTGATCCATGATGAGGAAGATTAATTTTCATTTCTACCATTTACCGATAATCCATAAATATCGATGATTATAAAAAATATGAAAGTAATATTAAAACTCACGTGTTTTTTTCGGTTTGTTGGTATTTTTCTTTTTTTTCTTTTTCGGTTGAATAGAAACTAGTATTGTAACGGTATTTCAGACTAAATGCTCTGGCGATCACTACGGCGAGAAATTAAAATGCAGAATCTTATAATTAGATGATTCAAGAGTTCGTACTTGATTAGGAAGGATGCATCTTGTATTGTAAATTAATTCCAATTATTATTCAATGCGGCTTGAGATTTGGAGTATGATGTGGCCCAGAAGAGATCAATTATCGTTCGGTGGTGTATCACTTCAATTTCACTAAATTGTGCACAAGTAACGGTTGTTATTGTTCAATTAGTTAGCGCGAGACCCGATTAACTCGATGGAACATGATTTTTTATAAAAATTTTCGGTATTTCAAATGCATAAACGAGTGGAGCCAGTGGCGAATTGGGGAATGAAATGCTTCGAATTCCTTTGAAATCACACGCGAGCAAATTTCATAGAAAAACCCTAGCGAATTTGATAGAAAATTCCATCGGATTTCTATTGAACTCGCATTGAAAAATATATCAACTTTTGGCCGATTCTATTGAAGACTTTCACAGCTTTTTGCATGTTTGTTATCGAAAATGTTCAATAGAAACTTTTATAGAAAAAATCAGTTGAATTTCATCTTTCGATACAACTTTCTTTATTGCTATATCTTCCAGAAGAATTCCTCGACGTGAATTTTCTCTTTTTCACTCTATTTATCTTTTCTATTCTTAAAAAATGAAACAAATAACTTTCAGCCAAGGAATTTCTAGGGAACATATCTCAATAGAATAACTTGTATAGCAAAATAAACTTCTATTGATTTTTTCTACAGAACATTTCCATTGAAAAAAAAATTGCAGATAAGCATTTTTTAATAGAACTGGCCAAAAACTAATGGAAAGTTCAATAGAAATCCAATAGAATTTTCTATAGAATTCGCTAGACTTTTCCATGAAAAACTATAATCAATTCCAATGTCAAATCGACTCATCTCGTCCCTCAAATTCACACTTGAAACCTATTAATCTCTTTTAACCAACTACGTTTAATCAATCAATGTGGCAGACATTTTCACCATAATACATAATATAATTTGTTTCATTCCTACTACTCCTTCATTTTCCTTCAATTAAACCTAGTGTCGTGTTCTTAAAAAAGAGAAAAAAATGCATACCCAGAGAAAATTAGTGCATCAAATTCCCCCCCTCCCCTTCCCCCCGGAAAAAAATAGATCCAAATTAATTAATTAAATTGATCGTGCTATGAAAATCGATAGCTTGACATTGATTCATTACAATTTTCTCAATTTCTAATTACGATTTTCGTCGTCAAGTAAACGATATTTTGCGGTCAAATGAAATGACAATTTTCACTAGAAAAATAAGGAACCTAAAATTGTCAAATCAATTTCTCTTCATTTATATCCTAATATTATCGAATAAGTGATACCAAATTCGAGTGCGGACATGCAATAATTATTATCATTGTATATTAATCATAAATTCGCAGTGAAAAAAACAAAATGTGTAAAGGAATGGGATGTTGGTCAAAATACTCACAAGTCGACATCATCCACTGGCAGATAACGTAAAAAATGATTTGGAGAAACATGACTTCTTCATCACTTTGTGGTTGCAGTTAGACAATACATGATGCATCTTGTCAAATTAGGCCCGAGATCATTTACAATCTATAGTTATGATATAATCTTAATTTTTTTGTTTAAATTTTTATTGCCAACGAAAATTCAGTAGTACATGTGAAAAATTTTACAGGAAAACCTAACGCACTATAAATTCTAATGATTTTTCTCTAATTTTGTTCTGGACAACTTAATCTATTCAAATATTTTTCATAGAAACTCCTCGACATAAATCTTCTATTTTTGTCACTGCATTTTTTTTCATCTAAAAATTCAATATAATTCAATTCATCTCTATGAAAACCATTCCAACAGAATAAGTAGTATAAAAATATTAGAATCTACTGATTTGTTTCAAATAAAATATCTTCTGAAATCCAACAGAATTCTCTAGTAAATGCGCCAGGTTTTTTATTGAATGGATCACGTTTTTTCATTGTTTAATAATCTTGATGATGAGTGAGTGAAAGAGCAATTTTCAAAAGCCAATTTTCTTTTCGAAATAATTGGATAATTAACAAACATGTTTCCCCACTCATCAAGATTGACTACTGAATTTTCGCTCACTAATGAAAAACGATACTCTCGACAATCCAACATACCAATACAGAATGCGAGACACTGTTTTGTTCAATTAACACTATGAATTACCTATTTATACAACATTCACTACATTTATGTATGACCCGGGGCAGATAATTAATTCACCACTTGTTTACCTCAGTGGTCTAATTATTTTACAAAATTCTCATAATTCTTTATACAAATTTAGAACTCATTAAATTGCTAAATACATATGTATAATTCTATTCTATAATCGATTAAAAATGGAGCAAAAAATCTAAATGCATGATTTAAAAAATGTAACGTTAATTCAACGATTCACATTCAGTTCCTTCCAGTTATCCTCAATGATCCATTACTTTTATACAAATTTAATCAACTTACCACTGTATCAACAAGTGGCGAATTATTCACACGTATATGTAACTATAGAATAGAAATGCAAACTGATAGGTAGTATACTCATGAAGTGAATGTTTAAAAAAAATTGCGAAAAATAAATTTTCCCAAGAGATGGATACTACAATTACGTTGAAACATTACAATTACCATACTTACAATTACACTCGTCTACAATATCATCTATTTCTCTTATTTAACATTATCATTATCAATATACGTGGCCAATAAGAACAGTTTTGTACTTGCATTGAAATTGTATTTTTTTTAAGTCAACTCCAATCACTTCGCACAGCCCAGTATAGCGTGTATGTTTTCATTTTTTTTTTCATTTTAAATTATTTTCTCTTTTTCTCTTTTTTTTTCTTGGTTTTTGTTTTGTTTAAAAATACAATTTTTCATGGATGGCAGCATTCTTATCAAAAAAGTTGGCTTTGGAGAATGTTGTAATGACATTTAGGAAGAGGTCAGAGATTTTATTTCATTTTCCTTGCAATGGATTTTCTTCTTTTTTTCTCTAGTAGATGCTAAGTTCATTAATAAATATGTGAAATTGTTCCAATTGTTAATCTCAATATCACAGCGGCTTGATCGGAATATTCTCATCATTTTTTTTTCTTCATATATTTTCATTATTTCATTTTATTCGTTTCATTTGTTTCATAGGAAAATAGGTATCTACACGTTAACTTCGTGAATCGTAGATGATATTCCATATTAAGGACTTAAAACTCCATAAAAATGCAATACACTATACATGGGCTAAACGCATTACAACACGACTTCCGTCACCTGGTCAATTATGAATTAATGTGAAATCGCTATCTGTCAGATTTTCATTAATTTTAACATCTTACGTTTGTTTTTGTCGTTTTGTGTGCGGTAATATGGAGTATTGAGTCATTTCGCTGTGTAAGTATTCTGCGAGTTTTATTGCCAGAGCCAGAATGTTGTAGAAGGAGTGATGAGGGGGGTTTCAGAGATTTTTTTTTAGTCATTTCCATTCGTTTCCATCTCTTTCATTACAATAAGTCGCTAGTTTTTTTCTTTAATCATCCCCTTATTGCTTATTGTTTGGGCCTAGAACGTAGCGGCTGCTACCTGCGTGAGATCAGACCATTACTAGTCCCTACTATTGGATTCATTTCCAATTCGACTAATAATGGAAAGTGGTCTGGAGTGAGAGAAAAAAAATTGTTATAAAATTTGTAATTGAAAAGTTGATCAGTATTAATTTGAGGATTAGCATTACGTCTTGATTATTACATATGAAAAAATGCAAGAGGAATATTGAACTTTTTTGGAAACACTATTCTGTTAAATAAAATTGATAGAAATTCTAAGCTTCATTTTTCTTTGTCGCACATTCAAAAATCTTAAAAATGATGGTGAGAAAAATAATGACTTTTGCTTCTATTGAAATTTTTAATACCTGATAGGGGGAGTGGAGCATAATGAATCATGATTCATTATCAATACCTCAAGATCAGTAATTTTAAAATCGTTTTTTCAACTTGTGAAGTAATTTTTGTTGTTATTTTTGATTAAATTAAAGTATTGAAGATTCAATGGGGGATATTTCATTGTACTTTAGGCTGACGATTATTATTGCATTTGATTTACCTGATGGTATATGGGGATGAGGACATCCAACCACTTTGTGTTCCCTAAACCAGTCAGCACTCAGTGGGCCTAGTAGTCCAAGTGGAACCATGCTTTGCTTTGAGTAAAATATGTAGTCAATTATTCCTTTGAAGTCAAATCTGTAATATAAATAAATAAAACATTATAATTATTCGTCATCATCGAAATGTGAATTTTAAGTGACATTTTAGGATAATTCTTACGTGTAATTCGTATACGGCATGATATCTTCACTGTAGGCGGAGGCAAGTTTAAACGAGTGAATAAATTCGTTGGGTTTGTCACATCCTGATATTTTTTGTAGACAAGATTTATACGCCAGTTCTTTGAAGTCACGATGATCAGACGCTACACGTCCAGATGTTAGAAATTCAATTACACCTGGGGACGAAAGAAAATTTTTTACTCACCGAGAATTTGAATATTCAATCTCCAATTATTATCTACTGGAAATTCTATCAATTTTTGTACATTTTCATTGGAAATATGTGATAGGCAAAAATTAATAGTTTTTGCTTTTCTATGCAATCTATTCTGCTGGTATGTTTTCCAAAGAAAATTCCTGAGCATAAATTTTATAAACTTTCGGTCTTGCATTGCAAAATACAAAACAAAGAATTTAGAACATTCATGCCTACGGATTTTTCTACAGAAAAATGAATAGAATAAATGATATAGAGGAATTGACATCTATTCGCTTATTTTATTTCAACGATTGGAATACTCCTGGCAAGATGAGTTAACTCAATTTGATGATTATCTGTTTATGAATATGTAGAGAAAAATAAGAGCTAAAAAAATTATCGAAAATTATAAATTTTTTTTTGGGTTTCCCAAACTCAAGTCTGACATAAGCAACCACCCAACTCCTGAATTCGTACATACCAGAATCAGGTAATGAGTTAAAATCACCACAAAGTAGTAGTTGAACATTGGAAGAGTCAGGTTTGTGGCCAGGTCTGAAAGACTGACCGACTTGATCGAGGATAGAACGAAGCTCATTGCTGAGCATCATTGTTTGGATCAATTTAACATCACAGAACTCTGGATCCCAGTGGATGTGTGCAGTGCACACGAGAATGGGTTGCTGGATCTGAGCAGGATCAGTGGGCAGTCCTAAAAATGAATAAAAAAATTTCGAATGGAATCTACTTTTCCTTTATTCTGTGAAATCGTGACCAAAACCAGCAGAAACGATATTTTCCAATTGTCAAATCATATGAAGAGGAAAAAATAATTTGGGAAAATATGTTGAGAGACTTCTTTCGTAGCCAGAGAAATTTTCAACAGGAAATGTAATCGTTTTCGAGACAATTCGATAAACATTTCTATTTCCTCTCTTATTACATTCTCCCATTTATCACTAGAAAACTCAAGATGAATAAAAAACAAGACGAATATTTTGAAAAAAAAATTGAAATCTGATGAATAGTTTTTGAGATATTGTACAATATAGTTTTATACAAAAAATTAAATATCTTTAAAACTACTGATTTGATTTCGTCCACCTGAAACGACAGCCTGTAATATAGTAAGAGCCTGAATCATATCAAATTTCAATTTCCTATCTCAATTATTTCAAACGTTATCGTGTTCCCATCAATTTTATCACAAAAATGAAAAATGTCAATTACTGAAGGACTCGCAATAGTTAGCTAGGTATATTATAGTCCGATTCGATCGATATCATCATAAGAGATATATTGACGCCAAAAAAGTTCATTTGATGCAGTAGTTGTCGAGATATTGAAATAGTATATTTCAGCACATGTGGGGCAATATCGTCTTTAACGTGTGTGGGGTTTACAGCATGAGCCGAAGACGAGTGATGTAACCACACACGTTAAGGACGAAATTTCCCAACAAGTACTGAACAAAATTTTATGTTACGAAGCCTGAAACCGGCTGAATTAGACACGAGACGCGAAGCGTCGAGTGTGTAATCCAGCCGGTTTCAGGCATGAGTGGCGTAAAAATTTTTTTTTTCGAAATCGCTGCTTCTCGAAAACTACTGGGCCGATTGAGCTGAAATTTGGCCCACATGTGCTCCCAACCAAAACCAATTGTGAACCAAAATTGCGAATTTTTTTCCATCACTTTCGCCTTTTTTTGTGAAAATTTCTTTAAAAATTCCCAGAATTTTGCAGACATTGTCTAAAAACATCATGTCTCGACGTTTCATGACGTTCTAACTAATTCCCAAGCAAAATTAGAGAATCGAAAAATCGACCGATTACACAGCTTCCATTCGGAGGCAAAAAGTAATAAAAAAGCAGAATTCTAATTCAATTAATTTATTTACAATACAATTCTTAATCACAATCTCTCACAAATATCAGTAATCATCAGACCTCTATCGAAAATCGAAAACTCCTCGTCTCCCTTTAGCATTCAGAAGATGACAATCAAGGTGAATACTCCATAGAGCAACAAACACGGATAAGCAATGAGTAAACGTTGTTTCTCCTCTCCTGACATGGCCGAGAAGAGTCTTGAAGCAGAGACAGTGGCCCAGGCGACTGCAAAGGCCCCCATTGCCATCCCAATAGGTCCCTTGAGGGTCGTGAAGATGCTGACACCTGCCAGAACGACAACAGGCAATAAGCAGTACCCAAGAACAGAGGCAACAGAGCTCAGGGTGATGTTGCCAGTACTGCTCATGAGGGACTGGAGAATGTACATGAGGAGGCAGGAGGTCACTGCCAGGCCATATACATATCCAAAGTGGGCCTTGGAGCCTGCGAGAAGGAGGAAACCTGCCAGGATAAGGCAGAAGGCCACTGGACCAGCCAGATCAGCATCTTGAAGGAGATAATTTGCATCGTCGATCTGGCCCCTTCGGTGGAATGGGTTCAGAACAGCTAGGGTTTTCTGCATGATTCTGTCTGGATCTATGCCCAGTTCCTCCAGGAGTGGAGGCTCGTCCTCTTCCTCACCAAATCCAGGAGCTAAAATTGTTGAATCGAGTTGATGAAATGGAGGAAGTCAATTAAATTGACCGCAAATAAATTCTAGGGGAACGTTTCCATGTGAATATTGTTGATAGTGGTCCGGGCTATACCTTCAATGGCCTAGTAACTGTCAGTGTCCCGATTTCGGCAATTCACAACGACTTTTTAATGGATAGAATTTTAAATTTACCGAAGAAAAGAAGGCTAGGGTAAAAGGCTGGGATAAAATGGACACTAACAAAATGTTAATGGAGTGATTAACATTTCAAGTTGACAAAATAGAAAATGAACCATTAAAATGTGGTTTTGTGAGGAATATTTTAATGTTCTCCTACTGTAATTTATGAAGTATGATTATCCAATTATTCTGAATTATTTCTTTAAATAGGACCTCTGCAAATTTTTATACGATTTTTCAATTTTGTAAATTGTACATTTAATTCCTACTTTGTGTTGTTTTTTTCTTGTTTTTTTGGCCTAGAACCCGTATCAACAATATCCAATGAAATTGTTCTTTTTCTTCAATTTACCTCTGCCAAAATCATCAGATGCATACGTCATGTCTCCTCCATAAGCCCCCTGCGTTGGATCCAGGTAACTCTTCTGGGAATATGTATAATCTGTTGTCTGCTCATCTCCATAGGATTGAAAGTCGAATTGAGGGTTAGGTTGGCCAAACCCAGCGGGGTCGAAGTTGTATTGCCCCTGGGGTGGCTGTCCCCAGTAGTTATCCTGACCAGTGTAGCCAGACATTTGTTTACACACTATTTTTCGGTTATTAGATTCCACTTGTTGTAATTATTGAGGTTTTTTGTGGATCGAAGACACTTTGTTGACAGCACGACGGAAATGACGAATTGCGCACTAGTCTGTTTTATCGACTGGTGGAGACAGAGAGGTGAGGACGACCTTGGGAAATGTACTGGGGGCGGCGCTAGTGTCGCTGCATGGCGGGAATTTCGAATTTAACAATTGTAAAAATATATTCCGTTTTTTTTAGCAAAAGCAAAATTAATATCCTTAAATTTTTGCTTGATTGAGTGTTTTAATCAATTGGTGATGGATATTTGGTCGTTGTTATCGGCTTAGAGCATGTCTTTTTAGCTGTAAGATGTTATTCAACATTGTAAACGTCTGTCTTCATCATAAACACGCCCTCAATTCAATAATGCAACATTCATTTCACTTAATCCAGCATTAATTGATCCGGCAAGAGCCTCCCCTGGAAGCAATGGAAGTGGTCTTCCTCTTCCCCACGAACGTAAATAAATCACCCTCAAATTAAAATAGGTAAACCCAAGGGTGTCTCACGCGCATAACACCCATAACCGGTCGTAGAAGCCTCTCCTTGAACTCGTAAATTATTTGAGGGAATCAATATCATAGGAGTGGGTTTTGCAAGAGAGCTCTTATCTCTCGTGACGCTCGAACGGTCACCAACATCTCTTTTCCCAGAGTACCCTTCTTATTTTCCCCCATTTCGTTCATTTTATTATACCCTTTTTCCCTCAACAAAAAGGAAAATAAGTTCGAGGGTTGCTTGGGGTGACATTGAATGGTCCAGTGAGATTTGATTCCCGAGTGTTGAAATTAATAACGGTTCGGGTGACTTTTCCTCTCGAGTGGGTAGGACTTTGGAAATGTGGACATCAGTCGTATTCCGTTCGATAAAACTTGAATGAATCTTCAATGAACATTGGAGATGCTCCGGAGGAATATCGTTCAACTCATGGTCAACCCTTATCCCCAAGTGGAATTACCAAGAATGAATTTTACAACTCGTGGTCTCACCTTGGCCTGCCGATCTTCGGTATCTCACTTATCTTGATCGAATACTTTGTAGCCAAGCTTCCCCGGGGCTGGACCAACAATCAACCAAGCCAACCAAATGTAGGGATACTTTAAAAAAAAACAGCTGAATTTATTTTATTTTAGTTGACTACATTTACCCTTATTTTACAAAAAAATGTGGACCTCTCGGATTAACCGTTTAAACCGTCCAATGCTTTTTGCAAAAAGTTCGTCTTCCGTCTACGTCATATTTCGATAACCAACTCTCGCAATCAACTAACTACGCTGTCTCACCCTCATCCCTTGAATATACTGCTCTTCTCTTCTAGCGTCCTCCAATACCACGCACTCTCTGGGCATTACTCGTAAGTTCCATATTTAGAATTTTTCCGAAACGTGACAGCGTGGGTCGGCTGGATTCTAGCTAGAAGATCCTGACCGACTAAAAAAAAAAAACTAAGAGAATTAGAATTTAGAGAGAAAAAATTTCCGCTTCACCCAGCCGGGAATCGAACCCGGGTCTCCCAGATACGCGCCGGGCACTCTTACCGACTAAGCTACCGGGAACCACAGAAATTCACTCTCAAATTCACCCCATACACCGCCTAACCTCCTTTAGGCATTAAAGAATTGCGCCATCGATGATAAAATAACAAAATCCTATGTTTCAACTTAATCCTACGGCTCGTCTTAATCCTACCGCAATAAATGCCTCAATAAAATAATATTCCAATCGCCTTGAATATTTTACAATGGGGAACCCCTCTCGGCTAGTTCCCCAAGGTCTACCTACAACTACCTACTACCTGCAACTAAGTTGTCCGTGTAGTTCCCCACGATCGTGACATCCTTACACTTAATTTTCGTTACTACATTAATTTTATTACTCCTAAGGCTTAATTCTCATCTCCTGCCAAAGTCTGTATTACTCTCATCAAAATAATTTTGGTTCGTGTAATTTTGTGGTCGAAAACGGGCTGTTTCCAATATCGGCGGAACCCCGGCTCAACGCTAGGCTAAACTAACTAGTCGTACTCTACGATGAATCAACTTCCTCCAAACTGGTCCGGGCCGACATTCAGCCAAAGGTGCGATATAATTCCCAGGCAAGTTCAAACTGTTGACAACCGACGGTGGCCCAACGTTATCACTCCCAAAAATATACATCAGTTGATTAAGCGTTTGGCCGAACTTCTACTAATTTCACGCACCGTCGGCAGAACCCCGGCGCAGTGCTGGCCCCTTCATACATGGACGAGACTAACAAACGTAACTAGTAGTGGTCGCTAATCAATCATTTCAAACCACATCAAAGCCACATAACTAATGAATACCGCTCACCCCCAATAATACACCCGTAATATGGATTCAGTAACAATGATTAACATAAACCCACAACGTCAATTTGTAATTTCGACAACCCCCAAGCAGCAAATCCATCCGCTCTGGGAATGCCGATTAATCCAGACAATTCGACTTAGCTTAATACCTGGACAGTGAGCAATTTCTCTGTTATAATCCTCCCCGTCAAATGCCCCATTCGACCTTGGACAATTCCAATGAAAACCGCGCACAGGTTATTGTAGGTGAAGCAGTTGGAGAGACCCATGTGTGCACATGATCGTATTTCAGTCGACTTATTAATCGTCAAGGTTTACCAGATGCATGAACAGACTCGTATATAAAACTGGCAGGAGGTCTCACGTTACTATGCAACGAAAATTTATTACGAGCAACGTTATGACTCAGTAGACTGTTGGCCATTCATGTATTATTCTTTTATTACAAAATATACTTTTTCTCTCTTTATTCATTCTGGATTGCGTGCCAATGATTAAGAGTTGCATCCACCATCAATTATCCACGGGGATCACACGTTAATTGGCTTGAATTACAGAAATGCGTAGCCACGAAGACTCGTTAACCATTTGCAGTGCGAAATTATTACTCTAGAGGTTGAAAAATTGAGGAGAGAAGGAAAAATCTATCATGAGCAAGATCATTATCTTCTTCACTTTCACTCCGTTGAATTGGTTGCATTTTTTTTGCTCGTCTTAGAGGTGAATTTCAACCTTGGCTGCTTGATTCGCTTCATTATGGTTAAATGGAGCACTGGGGGAAGAACGATGCGCGATTATAGAGCAGTTTAGACTCGTTTTCAAGTTTTATGATTCACAATAATACTCAGGGGGCTTCCTCAATAACCGTGAGACGTTGTTTCATCAGATCTCTTGTGATCGAAGGGGAATTCATTGTGGAAGGGACGGGAAGTCGTTCAGAGGGGTTGTGGAAATTCAGACAAACACATTAAACTTTATTCCCTCGTCTATTAATTCATTCATAGTATATTACGTGCTAAGGCGGAGAAGTGCTGAATTCAACGCTGGTGGAGTAC